AAAAAAAAAAAAAAAAAATCTTCTCTATTAAACCTTAATTCTCTTATTTAACTATTTTAATATGAATTTAAATGAAAATTTTAACAAAATATAAAAAAGATAATTAAATTTTTTTCTCATATAATTTTTGTTGAATAGTTTCATTTAATAAAAAAATTTTAATTATCATTTATATTATATATATATATTTATCTTGGTTGTAAAATAGGAGGCAACAATCTCATATCCTTTATCTGACCTCATCCGCATGTCATACGACTCAAACTCAAAATCTCTTATTTTCAATAAAAGAAGATAATCGTTAAATTATTTAGGTCGTTAACTATATTATATTAAATATTCATTTAAAATTTATGTTTGAATAATTTAATAGTCAAAATAAATCAACTAAAATTTAAGACTAGGGGGTAGTTTTTTCATTTTTTTTCTCAAGTTCTTTAAATAGAGTTTAATAAATTTTTTTTGCACCTAGTAACTACAAATCAAGGTCTTGACGGATATTAAAAGCCTGAAAATATAGGAAGAAAAAAAAAAAGCCTTGAAAAAGATGTTGATTTCGTTCACACATAGTGGAAGCTAGTATTTCATATATCCAATAAGTTTACTAATCCTAACATGTTGCAAGTTAAGGTCTTCCATCCAATAATAATTTTAATAATCCTAACATGTTGCAAGTTAAGCGTTTGCCTCTTTTCCGGGACAGATGGACAGATAACAAATCTTGTCCTTAGGGGAAGACTTTCCCGCCGCATCCTCATGAAGGTGCCTTAATCCTCCTTTGCCCATACCTACAATGAAGTTTTGAAAGATGAGTATTTCTTCTTTTTTTAAGAAAAAAGTGTTTTACAAGTTGAACCATACTTTAAAAATATAGTATAATTTATAAATTTATTAAATTATGCTTAATGAAATTATTTTTTATGTTATTTTATTAATAATAATTTAGTAATTTCAATACATGAATTGCACTTTTAATATGCAACTCAATTTATAAAATATAAATTCCTTTTTTTATGACTTAGAATCAATTAATATGTAACTCTAACATACGTTTTTTATACAAAATTTTAATAATTCATGTTTTCACTATGAATGATTCAGATTTATTATGATTTTTTAAATTAAAAAAAAAACAATTATCATTATAAACAAAAGGAAAAAAAGTGGACAAATTTTAACAATTTATATTAGGAAAATGAATAATCAAGATCTTATATAAATTGATATAATTTATAAGGAAAAACATATAGATTCCCAAAAATAATTTGAGTCCCAACTTTAGAACATGTCGTTTTATTTTATTAAAACTCAATTCAAAA